TGTATTGCTTATGATCAAGAACCCAACCCAACAAGTTGGCATTTGGAAATGGAATATTACAAAACAGACCCTGCTGTAACCAGCTAGGCTGAAAAAAGCAGATGGAAGCTACTGAGAGCACAACTATTCCAGGCTGGAAAAGGTGACTCTGCAACAAAGCATCAAATTTACAGCACCAGTAATGCCTTCTAAAGCTGAGATGTCTTGGAAAGAGTCTTAGTGTTCATCTAATTATGTCTGTGGAGGGCAAGATGCTATGGGGTTATGGCTGAAGAGGACTGCACATCAATCCCAAAGACCCTAAAGGTAAAACTACATTATATTTTAGCTGATCTCTCTTTGGGAGAGAATCTGTTTCAAATAGTGTGAGCAGTTTTGAAAGTTCTGAATAGAAAGAATGTGTATAGATGACATTTGGCTAATTCACTCCTCTCTTGTTCCTTACCTTTGGAGTCTCATCACTTGACTATATTTGGGTAGTCTTTGCTTTCTTGGTTTGGTTAGGAATTGGCTAGGAAGGAGTGTATGTGACCAATCTAGCAATGAATGATATGACTTGCTCAGAGTGTTTTGAGAAAGGTATCCTTACTAACAGAAACAGTCAGTCCTGCTGCACTTCTGAAAGCATGGCAAGAGCCAGCCTGGAAACGAAACATCCTGAGGATGGAAAGCAGAAAGATGCAAAAGATCTGCTCACTGAGTATCACCACTGTGCTCCTGATTTAACCAATCGGGAAATCTCCTATTTTACTTAGTAGATTTAAATCCAATTTTTGTTTCTTGCAGTTGAAAGTCTCTTAATCCTGACTGTATGAATTGGAGAGTGAAATGTGAAGGTAAGGCCGGCAGGAGCAAGAATAGGCCATCTAAAGCCTCAGTTCCATCTGAGAACTGTAAGAAACCACTGAAAGCCTTGACATAATGAAATTGGCACTCCTGCTGCACTTGGGAGAACAGATTGAAGGGGAACAATGAGGGCAAAGAGATTGAGAAAAACAGTG